GAAGCAGCAACCCCAAAAGACCATCTCACCTTTAGGCAAGTTCAGAAGTCCTCTCTCTGTGGGTTCTTTGTGTCCAGTTTATGTAACAGTCCAGGCAAGAGCAGTTTCTTGCCCAAATGACTATCCAATTCCATAAGGATCCTCTTCGATGCCCATCTTCCTCTAGAAGTAGATTGGTGCTGCCAGGAGCAGAGGTGTCTCATTGTCATGAAGAATCTCAAGTTATTAAAACATTAAATGCCATATTCTGCAGTCTTTGAAAAATATGAAGAATGCCTATCTAACTGAAACATATCTCTATATATCTAGAAAATCTAACTAACATGACTACAAGCTTTACTATTATCGATGATTATCCATTAACAACCTATATTTCCTATTATACATTACATTTTAAATGAACTACACAATCACAATACCTTAATCAATATCAGAAATACATATACATATAACAAAATTAACCTTAAAATCCATACCAATGTAAATTATTCATAGCTATATCATATCCCCCTTTAAATGTAAAAGAACATTTATAAACAATATTTGGGAACATGGGCACAGTTTTTTCTCTCCAAACTGCTTCCTGCTAAATGGGGGAGTGGTTAATTAGGTTTTTCATGGTATAATCTGTGTGCCAGTGTTATCTCAGTTGGCAGTTGAGTGAAGTAATTTTTTGAGAGTGTTCACAGCAATCTTTCAGCAAGACATGGTCTATCATACCATATTGGGATAGAAGAAATCCACAGGGTCTCATCCTCTGTGAAAACAAAAAAAGACTCTCTCCAAAGCATCATATCCTTAGACCCAAATTCTGAAGTCATACCCTCATGATATCCGTTCTGGTTCCACTTTGCAGTCCATATAATGAAATGTCTCTCTGTACTTAGCTCCTTTACAGTCAAAAATTTTAAAGAAAACACAGTACTACAAAGAATCCAGACTCTCTGTGAATTTTCCATTTTTACGTGGCTTATTTTTACTCTATCACTTTACTTTATTCTGTCTCTTCAAAGACTTTATCCTTTTTTTTAAGGCATTAACTTTATTCTCTCTTTTTTTTTCTCTCTCTCATGCCTACGTACACTCATCCAACACTGTGATCCATTTAGTGGTCTGTCTGAATCCATTTTATTGTGAATCTGTAATTTTTTTTTTTTTTACTATCCAGGAACATTTCTTAAAATGTTAAGCACTTCTTTAAAATTTAAGTTGTGCCACATAGGGGTAATACGGTACCGCCTGTTTCCTGCCAAGTCTAAACCTTAACTGCGCTATTATTATGGTAATTATGGTAGTTCCTGCCTGAGGTCAGCACAGTTCAGCATGGAGCAGCCGCTCCTGCCTCAGATTCATTTGGTGCCCCTGAGCTGAGCACAGTTCCAGGCACACAGCAGTCCACATTGGCGCCGCAGTCAGCAGTTTAACTCTGAGACGGAGTGTGCAGCACAGAAACTCTTTTCATCCAAGTTACAGCAAAATCTGACACACAGAGCACTGCATAGTCTGAAAACATGTCTCTGTATGTCTGCAGGAATCCGCCATGCTCTTCTGCCTGCCCAAGCCTGATTCAGCCATCTGCCCAGGTGCAGGCAGGGAGCGCTGAGCCATCGGCATGGACTCAGAGCACTCTCCTTCCAATCCTAAGCAGGAACACAAACATCCAGTCCCATAAAATCCATTGAAATGCTTTAAAGCCAGAGTTCACACTGGCAGCACAGCCCCAGGAAGCCGCACTTTAAAATGATGCAGCGTTTTTTCTGCTGCTGATGCCAAATCAGGAAATCTCTTTACAGCATGCCATCAACTAACAGCCAAAAGCTGTGTTAAACTCTGTTTTTTTCTCCAATTAAAATTAAGCTCTCTCAGGTTTTATGTGGAGCTCATCCCCACTTTGGCACCACTCTGTTGTGATAAGAGCAGTGGGGCTGAGTCCCCGGCACCCAGCCGCCCACATGGCTAGCTTATGCCCCGAAATAATTACATGGAAACTGTATTCTTTTAAACACTGCCTGGCCCATTAGTTCCAGTTTCTTATTGGCTAGCTCTTACATATCGATCTAACCCATTTCTAATAATCTGTGTAGCTCCACGAGCTGGCTTACCAGGAAAGATCTTAACCTGCAACTGTCTGGAGTGGGAGAATCATGGCGACTCCTTGATTCAGCTTCTTTCTCCCAGCATTCTGTTCTGTTTACTCCGCCTACCCAATTTTATGTCCTATTAAAGGACCAAGGCAGTCTCTTTATTTAACCAATGAAATTAACACAAGCCAGAAGACTCTCCCCCATCATTTCCCCTTTTTCTGTTTAAACAAAAAAGAAAGGCTTTCAAAAATGTAGCGGCGTAAATAAATGTACGCAGATTGTAAAGAATATATACAACTTTAATGAAGAAATAAACTTACAAGACCAAGGTTCCCGCAGAGCACAGGAAGCAGAAGGAGTGCGCGGGCTCCCATGCACCCGATTTATAAGTAAACATTCGCCCAAGGAAAGCCCGCTCCCTGAGGGGCTGGCTTAACCCTACAAATTTTGTTATATATATATATATATATATATATATATATATATATATATATATGTATGTATGTGTGTGTAGGTGTGTGTACATATATACAAATATATATATATATGTCTACTCCTGATTAAGGTATTGTATTTGTGCAGGTTATTTAAATTGTAATGTATAATTAAGAAATATAGGTTGAAAGAGAGTCATCTATAATAGTCAAGCTTGTATTCATGTTAGTTAGGTTTTCTAGATACATAGAGATATATTTCAGTTAGATAGATATTCTTCAAATTTTTCAGAAACCATCAGAATACGGCAATTAAAATGTTTAAGAATTTAGGACTTTTCCTGACAATGAGACACATCTGCTCCTGGCAGCACCAATCTTCAAGAGGAAAATAGCCACCAAAGAGGCTCCTTATGTAGTTTGCTAGCCATTTTGGCAAGAAACTATGATCTCCTAAACTGCCTGATGGTATGCTGTGTGAATTGGACATGCAGGACCAACTGAGAGATGACCAATTAACTTGCCTAGAGGTTAGATGGTCCTTCAAGTTGCTGATTCATGTAAGAGTCTGCCAGACATTCTGCAGGATATATAAAAAAGTTACTGACAAACTGCCAATATAAAAGTAACTGCCTTTGAAATTTCCTGACTCATGGAAAAGTATGCCAGATACTATGGGCCTGTAGGCTGAAGATGAATGCTACAAAGTTACATAAGAACTTTGGGTGACTGTTGATGCAGCAAGATGTCCCTATCAACTTAGAGTTTTGAAAGTTGTTTACAATGCACTTTCTGTTAACTTTGGTAATATTATATCCTGCAGTTTTTAATGGAGTTGAAGAATAGATGGTTATAATTATAGTTTTACTTAGTTATGATAAAAGATAAAGAAAATATAAATATTGTTACTGTAATTCTTGCTTTATACCTGTTTTGTTATATGTAAGTTTACTATGTTAAAGTTAAAACCTTCCATTTTATTTAAACAGAAAAGGGGAAATGGTGTGGGAGATTCTTCTGTACATGTGCTCCTTTTATTGTTTAATGGAAGCTGCTTTGTCCTGTGATGGGGCAGAATAATGCTAGGATATTTATTTAGGGAAACTAAACTGAATACTGGAAGAAAGAAGGCAGAGTCAGGGAGGTGCCATGTAGCTGTCAAAGGGGAAAGATGCAAGCCGCCAGCCAGAAACTTGCCAGTTAGTCACAACCAAGTAGTGTTACACAGATTAAAAGAAATGGCTTAAGTTAAGAAATAAAAGTTAGCCAGAAATACAGTATTGTAAATAATATAATTTCTGAGTGGTTATTTCACATCTGAGCAGCTGGGAACGAACTAGCAGACTCCCCCAACAGAGGTACAGTTCATGGGCAGAGAGCATACAGAGAGAGGAAAAAAAGTTTGAGAAACACAGTAAATTCAATCTGATGAAAATTTTCTTCAAATGAAGAGCTCTTGAAAGACTAAGACAAGTGACTAGTTTTTCAGATTCCCAAATCACAAAGATCAACTTATCAAGTTTTATTTTATTTATTGGGGCAGGATCTCTCAGTGAACCCAGAAATTATTGAGTCTAATGATTTAGCTTGCTCCAGGATACTGCCTCCACCTCAGAAGCACTGGGGTTGTTGATGGACTACCATATCTACCCTGCACTTACAGTGGTTCTGGGGATCTGTTATCTGATCCTACTGCTTACACAGCTGATGGAGGAGGGTCATATGTCTATTGGTTAATAAAGAAACTGCCTTGGCCCTTTTGATAAGACAGCAGCTTAGATAGGCAGAGTAGACAGAACAGAATGCTGGGAGAAAGAAGCCAAGTCAGGCAGTCACCATAATTCTCCAACCCCAGGTGGACATAGGCTAGAATCCTTCCTGGTAAGACACCATCTCGTGGTGCTAAACAGATTATTAGAAATGGGTTAATCGAGATGTGAGAATTAGCCAATAATAGGCTGCAGATAACGGGTGAAGCAGTGTTTAAAAGAATACAGTTTCCATGTAATTATTTCAGGGCATAAGCCAGCCCTGCAGGAGCCAGGCGACAGGAAGCGGCCCACAGTTCCCTACAACACACAGCAGGTGGTTGTTTCTGTTAAGTTTCCGGACAAAGGATTTTTAAAACTTATCATAAATATGTTAATGGATAACACAGAGAACAACTATAGGAAATCAATGCATGAATAAATTATACCCATGAAGATGTAGAAACTGTAAATAGAAGCAAACAAATTCTGGAATGAAAAATACAATAACTAATCTGAAAAGAAATTAGTTTCAAGCAAGGAAGGGGGTGAAAGCATAGGAAAGAGAAAATGTAAAGTGTGGGTTAACCAAAAGAAAGAATATATGTATGATAAAGCCTTATGGAAACTCAGTAACTTGTAAGCTAATTTAAAATGATGAAGATACCAATGGGCTTGTTTGAATCTGCCCAAGATTGAAAGCAGTAATTCTTCCACTCTGATTTCAATTCCAGTCTTGCTGTAGCTGAGATTCTGAAGATGCCTGCTGCAGTAACTAAAAGTGTTTCCGTAAGCATGCTAGAGAGAGAACCCCCTAACACAGATTTCGAACAGGAAGGAGAAATTGGTATGTATTTGATGCAATAACAATCATAATAAAAGAGGATAGAGGAGCTTCACAAGTGTCTCACAGAAATAATAGAGCCTCCTGTCTCATAGCCTGTCATGCTTTTTCTCTGGAGAAGTGGAGATGCTTAGAGGCCTCTTGCATATTAGTTACTCTATCTGAGTATATAATACTCAAGTATTTCTGAGCGAGAGAAATGAACAAGGAATCAATTTATAAGAGCCTAAAACATACTTTGTGTTTAGTTGGATTTTTAGGTTTTGTTTGCTTGTTTTGTTTGGTTTTGGTGTGTATGCTTGTGTGCCTGTGTGTATGCCTGTGTGCATGCCCAAATGTGTATACATGTCTGTCTGCCTGTATGCATGCATGCATTCATGTATGTGTGCCTGCCTACCTGTCCAGGTGCCCGTGTGTGCATGTGTGTGTGTGTGTGTGTGCGTGCGTGCGTGCATGCGTGTGTGTGTGTGTGTGTGTTTATCCTTAGCTTTCTAGTCCACTCTATCTGGTAATTTGAACTCTGGTGAGTAAAGAAAGTTATTGCCCACATACTGAGACATTGGGGATGATCTATCAAGAACTCAACAAGGCCAACTGGACTGGGTCTGAAAAAGCGTGGGATAAAACTGGACTCACTGAACATAGCAGACAATGAGGACTGCTGAGAAGTCATGAACAATGACACTGGGTTTTGGTCCTACTGCACGTACTGGCTTTGTAGGAGCCTAAGCAGTTTGGATGCTCACCTTACTAGACCTGGAAGGAGGTGGGAGGTCCTTGGACTGTCCACAAGTCAGGGAACCCGGACTGCTCTTCGGGCTGATGATGGGGGGGGACTTGATTGGGGGATGGGGAGGGATATGGGAGGCAGTGGCAGGGAGGAGGCAGAAATCTTTAATAAATAAATAAATAAATAAATAAATGAAAAAGGAAGTTATTGGGGACCATGCTCCTTATATCCCAGAGTGAAGGAAACTCTAACAGCACAGGTTTCAATGTGCACAACTAAGTAAGTTCCCTGTGGGCTCGGGCCTGGGGTTTGCTGATCCAGTGTGGTTCAAAGGAAAGCTGGGAGTAACAGCAGAGGTTGACCCCCTACTCAAGAATCTTCTGGTATTTCTGGCTCATGGAAAACTGCAGAAATGGAAAATCCTGTGGAATTTCTGTTAAACTGTCTTCTGTATTTGGAAACCAACTGTTTCATTCTTTTATTTTTCTTCCTTTATTCCCTCTTTCTTACTTTAATTTTTTTTTTGCTTACTTGTTTGTTTTAATGAAAGGATATGGACTTTCTGGAAAACAGTGTTCATAACTACCAAAAAAATACTCAAGGTCATGAGAAATGTAGATGTTTTTCAGCCTACTAAAATAGTCCCATATCTGAAACTTTGTTTTCATTGTCCAAATTCTTTTTTTTTTTGTTTTTTTTTTTTTGAGACAGGGTTTCTGTGTGGCTTTTGAGCCTGTCCTGGAACTAGCTCTGTAGACCAGGATGGTCTCGAACTCACAAAGATCCGCCTGCCTCTGCCTCCCGAGTGCTGGGATTAAAGGCATGCACCACCATCGCCCGGCTTAGAATCAAATTCTTGCCCATATTTCAAAGAGAAAAGGTAACTAAGGCAGATAATTTAATGTTGGGGTTGGGGGGTATGTGTGATATTTTCTATAATAAACATTTAGGATTTCGTTTCAGAAAAGAAGAAGAATTAAAGAAAGGAGACAATAACAGTTTCATGTGCAAGTAAATAAATAATTTTCACAAGTGAAACATCCAAATGAATATGGGGGGACCATTTTAAAGAAAACTTAAATATTTCCATATTGGGGAAAAAAAGCCATTGTAGAAATACTGATGCACTGAATTCAAGGGATATCCTTGTTTAATGTACAACTGGAAAGACAAAGAATGAAAAGTTTCTACGGAGCCAAAATCCAAAGGACACTGTATACGCTGTCCCAGAGTCTTTGGAGAGACCAACATTTAGCAAGCAGTTCTTCAGAAAAAGAGTGAAAAGGTGAAGCTTTGGTAGACCTAAAGTTAGTGAATTAGAGCACGAACTGCTTGGCTGTAGCTCCACAGGTGAACACAGAGTGGAGTTCCAGGGAAGAAAAGGCTCATTATCTCAGTAGAGAATACTTTTTCTGCCACCTCTTTTACATGACTTTTGGTGAACCAGCCTTGCTGAGGGGTGGTCTCTTGTCCATGTGATTGACAGGCCCAGCAGGTCTAACTCTTATGACAGGACACAATCGTGTGTCATGTCTACCCAGGATAAGAAGCAGATTCTGTTCATCTGAGAGGAGGAAATAGACTTCAAGGGAGCACTGATATTTCCAATGGCCTCACAGGCTGCTGTAGCATTCCCTGTTCAAGATTCTCCAAAATTATTTACATTATGGGCTAACCCTGAGGAACTGATATGGTGTGTTTCTGCTAGGAAGATCTAGGGGTCCATTTTTAAAGCTGCCCAGCAGACAAACTTAGTGTCAGTTACAGCCTCATGCACAGCATCCACACAGGGAGCTCTCTTAGAGGAAAGGAAACAGAGACTCCATCATTTCTGACCTCTGACCTGGAGATAATAAAAGACGTTTCCTATTTCAAAGAGAAGTGGAACTTCTCACCATTGGGACCTCTGCTTTTACATCTGCTTGACCCATTTCTGTCTCATCTCATGAGCTAATCATTCAATCCTCTGTCAGTTTCCTAAGTGTAAACTGAGACTCTGTTATCTTGGAGTTTTGAAAAAATGAGCCAAATGTGATGGTTAAAGTCAGCTGGGGGGTTTGTTTGTTTGTTTGTTTTGTTTTTTGTTTTGTATTGTTTTTCTGTGTTCCCCTGGCTGTCCTGGAATTCTCTTTGTAGACCATGCTTGTATCAAAGTCACAGAGATCCACATGCCTCTGACTTCCCAGTGCTGGGATCACATTAAAAAAATTCCATTTCTCCTTCATCCAAGACTTCTGTAGACGAGGACATCATTTATGAACCAAGATCTTCTGTGAAGTGCTGTAGGAAATCCCATAGCCAAAGGCCCTTAAGTTACCCGCCCAAGAGGCGTGTCCTCTTTTACTATTTATGCCAATGTAAACCGTACCTCTACTCTCTTGTTGCAGCTGCAGGATTGCGTTTCTGTTCTCTGTTCTATAAGAGCATTCTGATTCGTGAGTCTACCCCTAAATAAATAACTGTCTATTATTCTCAATTCTGAGCTAGTGTGGGATTTCTTTTAAGCGTCCTTCATCAGTGAAGGGCATTAGCAGTAGAGGAATACAAGTCAAATCTACAGATGATTGTGACGTAAATTTACCATTTTCCCTAAAATATTCTTGAGATTGATGTTCTCATATTTATATTTTGAGATAAAGAGCTCCAAGGAAAATATCTCAGAATGGTCTCCGCCGTGACGCCTATAAAGCTATACTGCTGCTATGTACTGAACATGGGTCTCACTGCAGCTGTAATTACACTTGTAGCTTTGTCAGGTAAGTGACTTATTCCGAAGCATTCTGTTCACATTTACATTGTCGGTTATACTTATAAGCTGATACTGTATGGAAGGACTCATGCTAAGGACTCCAGAGAAAACACGCCAGTAATTCCTGTACTGTGGGAACTTAGGGTCTAGCAGGAAGATGCACAGCACAGGCTGTGGTGTGCATAGGAGGCCAGGCTCAGCAACCCTGGGAAGAAGACATTCAGCAATTCTAAAGCAGTGGTTTTATACCTTCCTAAAACTGCAAACCTTTAATATATACTCATTTTGTGGTGAACCCCAATCATAAAATTATTTTCATTGTTACTTCATAAATGTAACTTTATTACATTGTGAACTGTAATGTAAACATCCAATATTTCCAATGGTTTAGAGACATGCCATGCGGGTTATCTATTCAATGTAGAGAAGAAGGAGAGGAAAACTAAGCAGAGATTCACAAGGAAGCTGCTGTGGCTAAAAGGAAGTGAGAACAGTGAAGAGTGATATCATTGGGGAAGGTACAGGAAACCTCACCCCCATGACTCCTGGTTTCAGTTAATATATTCAACCACAATCTGAAGATATTAATTAGAATATTCCAGAACATGTGATTCCTAAGCTTTTAGCTGGAGATTGTTCTGAATAATGTGATAAAAATCGTGAATAACTTTGCTGCCATAGCTAGAGAGTCATTTTGACCACATCAATGAATAATACACACAAGTCTAGACAGGACAAACATTTGCAATTAAGTCTTGGTCAGTGTAGCCTAAACTATTACATAGCTCAGAAAATAGTCAAATAAAAAGAAGGGACAGTCATTCTCACTGCCTGTTGCATTGGTCCTTTTCACTGAGGACTTGGGGAATTGAAAACAGCTACAAAAATTCCCCATCACTAATGTATGGGCAGTCATTTCTGGTATTTATGTCCTATCAGGTCACATATTTCCTGGAACTCACTAGACCTTTGAAAGAGGAGAGCATTCATTCTTATCTGTTAAAGTAAGGAAAAGCCAAAGTTATAAAAGAAGAATATCTATTATTCTTCTAAAATGCCCTCTGAATCCTTGCAGCATTCAGACCTTCTTTTACATGCACACAGATACACAGACACACACACACACACACACACACACAGAGGGGGAGGGAGAAAGAGAGGGAGGGAGGGGGGAGTGAGAGATGACATTTACATCCATGCATATGTATTTTATAATAATTTTATTATAATAGACTCAGATTAAAACATCACACAGCTTCATTAACATGGGCCCTCAAACGCATGTCAAGTTTCAAACTCAGGTATCTCACCTAACTGCTACACAGTTAGGATAGCTACACTGAAGCTGTGGAGTTTCAGTTATGGTTTTAGACTTTATATGTCAGTTAGATGAAGTACCACAGAGTTTAAACTAGAAAACCAATTCTTTTCTAATATTTTTATAACTTGTATGCTCTTTGCTGCATCCTTTTTTTGCTTGTCACCTTACGTCACTCTTCTTTGTTCCTTCTATGTGTTACACCATGATAACACTCACAGCTGTTCACACTGCATCTCAGGCTGAGATTGCATGTGACAGAGAACATGGGTCCCATTCTTTCTAAGTTTTTGTGACTTCACTTAATATCATACTTTCCCACATAATTTCCTACAAATTTCATTTTTCTTTAAGACTGAAATATTATTCAATTTTGGATGTGTTGCACATTATTATGTACTCATCAGTAGATGGGCATCCAGGTCAGGTCCATTTCCTTCAGTTGTAAATAGGGCAGCAATAAACATGGAAGGCAAGACTCTCTGTGGAAGGATGTGTTTTATCCATATATGACAAGGAGTGACATTGATAAGTCAGATAGCAGGTCTATTTTATTTTCAATGAGGAACCTCCAAATTGAATGTATCAATTTGTATTCCCACCAGCAGTGAATAAGTTTTCCCATTTCTTCTCGTGTTTCTAACATCTGTTGTCACGTTTCTTCATAATGGTCATTCTGAGCTCCTCTGAGAAAAGCAACCAATGTGTGTGTGTGTGTGTGTGTGTGTGTGTGTGTGTGTGTGTGTGATAGGGTTATATGAAGGACTTGAACAAAGATTTAGTATCAAAGACCTATTTTGACCATATCCAAGCAAGGAATGGGGTCATAGTGAGATTCTGTATCAAAACACAAAATATGAAGAAGAAAAAATATATCATTTCCTCAGAGCCCACTAGAAGTTTCTGAAATGGGGACCTTCCTGTTAGGTGTCCCTCAATGATCAGTGAGGAAAGCTACTGCACAGAACACATCACAAAACTGAGATTTGTATAGCAAACCAAGACAGAAGACTTTGAAATGTTTATTATATTTCCTGAATTGTCTACATTTCAGTGGGAAAAGGAAAACTGGTCACTGAGTGCCCTGGACCTTGCTCTCCCACCTGCCCAACAGACTGGATTGGTTTTGGAAGTCAATGTTTTTATTTTTCTGAAGACATAAATAACTGGACATCCAGCCAGACCTTCTGCATGGCACTAGCGGCCCATCTAGCTCTATTTGACAGTCTGGATGAGCTGGTAAGAAAGGACCAGGAATTGGTTTGTTGTTTGTTATGTTTAGTGTGTGATTCCTTGAAATAGTGAGCATAAGTCTGAAACATGAGGAAGCATTTTACCCTAGACCTTGGAGGACACAGAAGCACATTGATGTGTGTCATTTGCTGATGTTATTGATTCTTACTGAAACCCTGAGACATTTCAGAGACTGTTGATCATGTGGTGTTCATCATCAACCTGTAATGTCAGACATACAAACGACTGAGATACTTGGTGGTCATAAAACCTTCACCAAAACTGTCAAGTATTGCATACTAAAGGTGACCATTGTTAATAACTGCCAGGATGGGCTTAACAAGGGATTTTCCCAGTCACAGTGGGACAGGTAGTCATCCATATACGTTAGATTATAGATAGAAATGCATCCACTGATATCTGAGGGCTATTATGGCTCCAAGGTTGGTGACCCTCTGTTACACCCTGTTACCTTCCCAGAAGGAGACTGTAGGGCAAAGACTCAAGGATCATCTGAAACAGAGAGACACATCTTTTCTTTGCTTTCTGTGTTTTACGACAGAATTTTCTGAAGAGATACAATTGTGATCCTGACCACTGGATTGGCCTGCACAGAGAGTCACCAGAGCACCCCTGGATGTGGACAAATAACACTGAATATAACAACTTGTATGTTTGTAAACCACTTTTCTTTCTACTGTGCTCATGAGTTGTGATTGTGTGAGCTGTAACTATAAGAGAAGAAAGCCTGAGTCATCTGGAGCCAACTATACTGGAAACGTAGAAAAATAAACCCTTAGGTTGAAGGAGTATCTCAGAGGTAGGGTATATACTTATATGCATTAGATAATACCCAGGAAGTTCCACCTCCCTACAAATTTAATTTTTTTCTCTGTGTTCCCATTTAATGGCCATCATTTTCAAAGTATTTACTTAGTGTGATGTCCATTGAAATCTTTCACAGGATTGTGGCATCTGGGGTAGATGCCGTCTGCTCCATTACCAAATTGAAAATTTTTCCTTAATGATAAACACTGCTGTTGGCTGTTTACATAAATGCAGATGGGCAGTGAGGGCTCTGAAACCGCAGAAAACCACGTTAGAACTGCTGGGTAGGACTAGTCAGACAGCTGTGTGCACAGATGCACTTGTACACAAAGCAGAGACTCCGGGGACTTTGGGAGCCTCTTCTAAAGTCTCATCATCAAAGAGCACTAAGACAATCCTAGATGTGGACAGAGCCATTTCAAATGGAGCCATTTCACTGGAACAGTAAGACACACCCAGTCCCATCCATCATTAAAGACCTTTCAAAAGTTTACTAACAATTGGATTTTCCCCACTTCTATATTGTGTAAAATACTCAAGACAGAATTGAAAAATTGCCCTTTTGAGGCCACACAGGGCAGCAGTTCATTTTAACATGACATCAAGCACCAGTCAAATGCCCTCTACACACTATATAGAGTCGATTGGGAGAAATGATAAAGATGTGGTCTTCAAACTAAACTCCAAGAATGTAAAAGATGTTCGGTCTAAGTAGTGCAGGTGATTCCTCAGAGACTCTTTCTTCCTCTGATTCTTATTACAAATTAGCAGTGAAGATGGATGAGATTTCGTTGCTGGATTGAATCAGTGTCTGTCTGTGCAAAATTGTGTGCGTTTGTTGTTTTAGGGTTCCTGTCCGAGGAGGAGGAGAATGTGCCTACCTGAGTGACAGCGGAATCAGCTGTGGCAGGGGCTACATACACAGGAAATGGATTTGTAGCAAGCCTAAAGCTACTCTTTGCAAGGGCCATGGATTTTAATTACAGGGTAGGGGATGTGCCAGAGCATGTGTAAGAAAGAGATGCTCTGTGACCTGTTATCTGCTCCACTCCTGATCTGCTAAAATCATCATCAAAATCCAATGATGTATGTGTTGACAGCAAAGATGAAATTTCACTGAGAGGATTATATATAATGGTTCTTGGTAAAGCATGGGTAGTTATAAATTAATAAGTATCTGAGTTAAACCCAAAGTATAGTCGTATGTATGTATATTAGTGAACTCCACTTTTATGACAAGATACGAATTTTTTTTCTTTGGTCCTTGCTTTGAACTCAGGGGACCTAAAAATGAGTGGAAACTAAATGCATGGAAATGATTCAATAATCACAAGAAATGTGGTGCTTGGTCTATGGACTCTAAGTATTTTTGTATATATGGTCAATATTATTTTATAAAATTCAATAAACAATATGATGTGATATCTAGACAGTATTAAAACCATTACTGTATACTGTATACCTTGTGAATAACTCATCATGGACTTAGTCAAAATGTTTTACACTTTACTCCTCTGTGTTCCTGTTTAGTTACAGTGGACTAAGAGCATGATCCAAACAAATGCCCTTTAACTTTCTTTATTCAACTTTTTTGAGACTTTCCTATATGAGTATGCCATTCAAAGTTCATTCTTTATTAGTTTCATTCAAAAACAAACCTAACAATGCATAAGAAAGTTAATTAATGAACATTTTAAAATGTATTTGGTGCCTAATTTTGCAATCATTTGCACACAGTTGCGTTCTAAGAACAAAATAGTTTAATTTTTTATCGTTATACTGTACCGATGTGTCCTAAAACGGACTAAATAACAGATAAAAATTCTGCCTTCAGTCAATTCTGTCTTCTTACTTTATTGGTATATGGACTAAACCTGGTGACCTGAGTTTGACCTGGACCCAGATGGTAGAAGGAGAAAACCAACCCAAGCAAGTTGTCCTGTGATGTCCACAGTTATGCTGTAGCCATAAGCATATATGTACAAATAAAATAAGTAATAAATTTTTTTAAGTTCAACTTCGATAGAGACTGTGTCTGTTACATTTGTTTCATTGCTGTTATTGTTGTTGTTGCTGCTGCTGTTATTTGCTTTTTGTTTTTGTTTTTTTGTTTTTTTTTCGAGACGGGATCTTGCTATGTAGATCTGGCTGTCCTGGCACACACTATGTAGACCAGCCTGGCCTTAAATTCACGGAGGTCTGCCTGCTTCTGCATCCCAAGTGCTGGGATTAAAGGCATGCACCACCATATCTGGCAATTGTTATGCCTGTGTTCAGTCTGTATTATTAAATAAATATAAGCATATCTTATTTAGGAAAATGCTTTTCTCAGTGTTATTGTCTTACTTCATTAATTCTTTTTGTTTTGAGGTCCATTTTCTTTCAAAAAAACTAATAAGAAAGTCCAATGTAACTCAATTTGTATTCTCAGAGACCGGCACGCTATGTAAAGCACAGAAATGTTCCAATCACATGTGTAAGGAAGATAGGGTCTCGGGTCTGTGGCTATAAGACTCCTCTCTTTGGTTGTAATCAACTCAGTTCTTTGTGAAGAAATGTATATCTACAAAAATAAATCAGAAAAACAAATGACTTTCTATCATTAAACTGTGTGTGGTTGTTGTGTAACAGACTTTCCTGGAGAGATGAAGAAACACATGTATTCATCTAAGACAGGCCAAAGTACAGATATCATCAAAATCTAACTGTGTGAATTTACAGATTTATAAGGATTATTTACAGGAATATGGGTGAGGGCTTTCCTACAAGATCAGAATTGGCACAGAGATGGTGCATCACCAAAGTCCACTCCAACATGAGTGACCACTCACAAAAGCTGGAACCCTGGATCATAAAGAACAGGTTTGTGGCTGCTCATTGACTAAGAGAGTGTCTGTCTTAGTAACTTTTATTTTGCTGTGATGAAACACCAGAAACAAGGCAACTTATAGAAGTGAGTTTATTGCAAGCTTGACTAAAATTTCAGATGGTGGGGAGCAGGGCAGCAAGAAGGCAGGCAGACATGCTGTTGGAGCAGAAACTGAGAGCTCACATCTTGAGACAACAATCAAGAGGCAAAAAGAGAACACTACCAGGGGATGGTGTAGCTTTTGGTTCACCAACCTCAGTGACCAAACTACTGAAATAAGTCTACACAACCTCCAACAGAGTCACGTCTCCCATAAGGCTTTATCTTCTAATCCACCCCAAACAGTTTCACCAATGGTAGACCAAACACATGAGTCTATGGGAACCATCCTAATTCAAGTTATCATAGTGTCCTTTCCAGGAGCTCCATTGGCTCTTCTAGGCCATCCTGCTGGTCTCTGCTTTTTCTAGGCAGCTGGGCTTGTCTGACAGTGACTCTCAGCAGTGACTTACTGCACATGCACTCTTGGAGAGTTGAGGACCTAGAAAATCTGGTCTGTTTAAAGACGCCCTGAAATTATTATGAGTGGTTTGAATTTTTCTTTTCCTAACCTCCCATCAAATTTTAGAAGTCAGGATAACAATGTCAGTAAAATTACTTTTGTGAATTAATCTTATGGTGTTGCAGTTTCCTCTGAGACCATTGCAATTATATTCTCTTATTTATAATCCAGCACCTTGAGAAATTTGTAGCCCCTAGTGCAGGGTTTCGTCATAGGATAACATGGGCCAAAGGAGGCAGCATTACAAGCTTATCCATGACCAGACTCAGTAAATCTGTAAGGCCTAGGTCATCCCCTGTTGCATTATGAAGATGAAAATGAGAAGAGCAAGGAGAGCATCCAAACTGCCTAGGCTCCCACAAAGCCAGTGGAGGTGGGAGGTCCTTGGACTTCCCACAGGGCAGGGAACCCTCACTGCTCTTAGGGCTGATGAGGGAGGGGGACTTGATTGGGGGAGGGGGATAAAAATGGGAGGCGGTGGCGGGGAGGAGGCAGAAATCTTTAATAAATAAATTAATTAATTAAAAAATAAAAAAAGATACACTAGAAAACCAAAAGAAAAAAAAAGAAAATGAGAAGAGCAGCAAGTCTCCACTAGACTGTAGCCTCTGCGGGACGCTGCCGCCACCTAGAGGTCATAGCTGTTTAAGCCATCTTCTCATAGACACTGGAATTTACCACTACTCAAATGAAATATTTGAGTTTTGCTGTTTTTCCAGCTGCTGACGAACAGTATGTATGATTCTGTCATGCAAGGCAACAACAGTGAGCTACAGAACCCAGACAACCACGTGTTCACAGTGTTCCCTGTGTCTAGCATCATTTAGATGCAGTTATTGGATACATTTCAGGAGATTGAAAATGTATGTTTTTAAGTGCTACAAACCGTGGGATTATACAGTAATTATTTAGCTGTTGTTTCATACGGGCAACCGGATTTAAACCAAGATATAAGGTTGCTGGGATTATTACCTTTTGAATGAACTGGCTGTAAATTTCTCCTGTAGCTTATTCCTATCTGTTACAAATTTGGGATATATCTTCCACAGTTCAGCACTATTTGATCATTTATGGGACACAATTTCCCCTGTCATATGGGGTATGCTGTAGCTTTGTGTGAAAACAGCCACACAATCCAAAACCCTGTTTCCCACTACCAGGTCTGTGCTCCTTTCTCCAATGTAAACATAGAGCTCTGTCTTTCTGCAGTTATCTTTATTGCAGGCATTTAGTCAGCGTTAAGTCTCCAGGGGAAAGTATTTCATTTAAGACATTCCCAGATATCCAAGGACATAGAATTACTACATGTCTAAAACTGTTGAACCATAGCTGCTCAGATAGGTAAAAAATAAGTACGCCCTGCTTTTACCTTGCTTGCAGATAAGAGAAGTGATGATCACTAACTTTCACCTTGGTTCATTGGTGGTTTAGCCTAAGAGATTTAGTGCTGTGTTTTACTCTTACAGATAGCAGGAAAAATAATTAACCATCTGCCCACAGCCTGGAGAAAGGCAATCTTTCCACTGGAAACTCCAGACTTAGGCAGCCAATAGTCAGAATGGCTGAGAGATGTTAAGTCCCGGATCTGATAACTATACGGCTTGGGTTTTCTATTTGTTTCAACCACTTAGCAAATGATGTCATCTTCAGATCTAACAGGCCCCTTAGAGCTTGTTAACATTTGGCCAAAGTGCTAGGAATCAAACACCACAAACTTCCTGTTTGTTTTGGTTGCCTGGTTACATGATACTCTCTACGCGTGCTGGAAAAAAGTGGGTCCCTGGGTAAAAGATGGTCCTTAAGCAGGTTTTGATTTTATTGATTATAAAGTTCTTGGCTCTTTATCTAATTGTTTAAGAATATAGCCGCTCCTAGAATTCCCCGGTGAGTTAATCTCTCCCTTAATGAGCCTCCTTCTCCCATAAGAGCTCACAGAGGATCTCACTAACCACTCCCACTTAAAGTCATCCAGTAAACTGACCTTTATAGCTTTGTGTGTGAAAATCCTTATCTGTCTTTTATGGCCCTGTAAAGTTCCAGCCCTGGATTCCGCTAGGGCTGAAGAATTGCTGGTTGCAAGGGTATATAAACTGGAAACATTTGCAGCACTAGAGATCAATAAAGGGACATGTTGAGGAGAAGTCACCTGTGAGCTGATCTCCTGTTACACTTAGATAGTTCCCTCATCGACTATAACATCTTATCTGGACCCTGAGGAGTCTGAGGGGCTGGAACCACAAAGACCCCGTTTTTTAGGCTGGGTACAGGCTTTGATTTCAGCACCTGAAATGCAGAAGCACAAAGATTTTTTATGAATTCCGGAATATCTATCCTGGTGTACATAGTGAGTTCCAGAACAGCCAGGGATATATAGTGAGACCCTGTCTCCAGAAGAAAAATCACAGCAAACAAAAAAGAACATTTTTAACTTACCACTCTAACTTAAAAGCAAAATTTAACTGAGGGTCTAGAAAGATGGTTCAGCACTTAAGAACACTGGTTGCTCTTGCAGAGCAGTCAGGTTTGGTTCCTAACACTCCATGGTGCCACAAGACCACTTCTGCTCAAGTGTCAGGGGATCCAGTGCTCTCTTTCAACCACTAAGGACACTAGGTATGCACATGATGCACAGACAGACAGACAGACACACATGCAACTATACACATGAATATAAAATAAATAAAATTTAAAAATGGATAAGAATGGCCGGCTGTGGTGGCACACCCCTTTAATCCCAGCACTCGGGAGGCAGAGGCAGGAGGATCTCTGTGAGTTCGAGGCCAGCTTGGCCTACAAGAGATAGTTCCAGGACAGGCTCCAAAACCACAGAGAAACCCTGTCTCATAAAACCAAAAAAAAAAAAAAGAAGAAGAAGAATGCTTAAAAAACAAAACGTGAATCTCTATCACAAGTCTGAAGAATAGAGAGAGGTCCAGAATAGATCTTGCTATACCATACTTTACAGTATGACTTAGTTTCTTTTAGAGAGTTAAGGAAAAATTCTTCCTTGTCCTAACCATCTCTACAGACTATCTGCTTCCCATAACAAGAGTCCTTTCCTCCATTTTCAGAGTCAACAGCGTAGCATCGTTAGCTTTTTTTTTTTCTTTGATGTTCTGTCTTCTGTATTGAGGAATTCTGTGTTCAGGTTAGACCACCTACTTGATTCAGGAAAATCTTTCCATCTCTAGGTCTCTACTTAAATCACACCTGAAAAGTCAGATTTACTATTAAGGTGTCCTATGTACAGGACAGGAGTTTAGGGCAACTGTGTGCCCCTGGCATTTTCATATCCTATACCACCCTCAGTCTTCAGGGAAGGTAGAAAGAACTAACCATTCCTTTAAAAATGTTCTTGTTCCCCTCGTGGTCCCGACTTCTTTGCTCATGTTCTCCCTTCTTCTGCTCCTCATCGGGACCTTGGGAGCTCAGCCCAGTGCTTCAGTGTGGGTCTCTGTCTCTGTCTCCATCCATCACCAGATGAAGGTTCTATGATGATATGCAAGATATTCGTCAGTATTGCTCTAGGATAGGGTCATTTCAGGTTCCCCATCCTCAGCTGCCCAAGGAACTAACTGGGGACCTCGGCTTGGGTATCTGGGAGCCACTCTAGGTTCAAGTCTCTTGTCAACCCTAAGGTGGCTC